GGGAGTCAGAAAGGGGAGGAGCAGGAAGGGGGGCTGGGGCGACAAGAATTCAAAACCAACAACAAAAAAGAGGATCAAGAAAGAAGAAAGAAAAAAACAACAACCAGAAAACAAGAAGCTCTCGGGGCAGATTCAACAAGAAAAGAAAAAAACCCCAAAAAAACAAGAAACCAAAAAGATCCGTTTTTGGAAAAAAAGAAAAAAGTTCTTTGCACTTTTTCAAAATTTTGTGGTGAAACTTCAAGATGTTGGGCCCTGTTTTCAAAAATGTCCAAATTCTTTAATTTGCTTCAAATGTGCATTTTCTGCATCGGACAGGCTTTCTTTTGGAAACTGTAGCAGCTTTCTGCTGTTTCGATTGTGGCATCAATTTGCCAACTTAAACTTGTTTTTTTTTAATGTTATTTTGCTCCAAATTAAAATTGTTTTTTCAAATGTTATATTTCCCAAGTTTAAAAACAGTCCAAATGTCTTGGGCTTCCCTGGTTGAGAGTCCGCCTGCCGATGCAGGGGACACGGGTCCGTGCCCTGGTCCGGGAAGATCCCACATGCTGCGGAGCAGCTGGGCCCGTGAGCCATGGCCGCTGAGCCTGCGCGTCTGGAGCCTGTGCTCCGCAACGGGAGAGGCCACAACAGTGAGAGGCCCGCGTACCGCAAAGAAGAAAAAAATAAATAAATAAATAAATTTGTTTTAAATACAATTTATTGAACTGTAACTTTATGAAACTTAATTTTTAGTACTGACTGTTTAACAACTGGCTCAAAACATTCCTGAAAAGTTAACAAATGGCTCTCGAGCCAGTAAGAGCCAGTTCCAATACACCACTGTAAGGCAATCATCCCCAGACAATTTTCTTTTCATCTGATGTGGGAAATTGCCTTTTATAAGATACTTCATTTGGGCTTCTCATCACCCAACAAAATTTTCTCATGTATGGAAAGTAGGATACTTGAAGATTCAAAAAACACAGAATTTAGTGTGTGTGAGAAGTTCAAAGTCATAGGAAACAGAGGGAAACCTGTTTAATATACAGGTTCCAAAGAGGTAGAAAGGGCAGGGAGAGAGTTTTCTCCATCTTACCTGGATCTGTGTCCATCACCATGCCTACCCATTCCTGAGTTGTCAGTTTGCAAATATCCTTGTCCTTCACCATCCAGGAACAGGGAGCTTCTGAGAAAAGTGCACCACAGAATGGCTTCACTCCGATCACACAAGCATAGCCATATAGCTCTCCCCCAGCTAACACATCCAAGAGTTTGACTGTGAAATCTATCTGGCATTGAGACTGGCAAAAATGGACACAAGGTAATTTGTATATTGTGTTTTCTATTTTCTTTTTCAAAGAATCACGGTCAACCTTTTCTTTAGCACATCCCAGAACTTTCTTACTCCTATCATCCACTCCAATAAAAAGATAGACTCGGGCTTCCCTGGTGGCACAGTGGTTGAGAGTCCGCCTGCCGATGCAGGGGATGCCCCGGTCAGGGAAGATCCCACATGCCGCGGAGCGGCTAGGCCCGTGAGCCATGGCCGCTGGGCCTGCGCATCCGGAGCCTGTGCTCCACACGGGAGGGGCCACAGCAGTGACAGGCCCGCGTACCGCAAAAAAAAAGAAAAGAAAAGAAAAGAAATAGCTTCCTTATTTTCAGCTATAATTTGTCTCCCTATAACTTCCACCTGCTGGGACTCACAAACAAATCTAATTGCTTTTGTACTAGCAGAACTATACTCTCATGACTCCCAAGCCTCATTGATGTTACTTTGTTGCTGATGACAAGCATGATAGATACAAAGTTTTCTGAGAGTCTAGCTCCGTATGAACATCTGCTCCACATTTCCCCAAATTTCTCACTCATTCTCCTTTACAAGGTGCTCCTGAGCTATGATTTTACTAAGCTCTTCATGCTCTCAGACATAAACTTAGAGGAATGAGATTTACAAAAAAAATTTTTTTTTTTTTACCTGATGTTCTTGCTTTTCCTCTTGTTGCTTCAGTTCCACATCTGGCTTTGGTCTGAATGTTTGCCTTCTGTCACAGCCCCTGTTGCCCTTTGATATCAGCCTGGGAGGAGCAGGAACTCTGCCAGACTCCCCTAGTCTTCATAACATTGACCCCTGAGGAAGGCTGATAAGGACTCAAGAAAAGCCTATGACAGGGCAGATTGGCAGGCCAGGGTCTGACCTCTGGGAGAGAATGAAGTATTAGTGGGGAAATTCAGGGGTTTTCAAGTGAGGGGCCAAAGCTAAAACGTCCCTCCTCTAAAGGGCTGAGTGTTATTTCTATACATCATACAAGCATCTCCTGTCATGGTTAATTTCATTTCAAAGCTCTACATTTATTTTAGATTAAGCTGTCCTGTACATATCTATTATGAACAATATTAACCTATTCTATCACCTTCCAAATCGTTTGTCCTATTCTATTCACTTTTATTCTCTTTTTCCTACTTTTCCTCTTTGTTGGACACAAGACCCAGCCTAGAAAAATACTCTTTGGTGAAGGTTTGGCTACCCCTGGGTGAGAGGATTACAGATGATTTTTCATTGAATTTCTTTTCCTTTCCTTTTTTTCTTTAGCTTTTCTCTATTTTCTAAGTGGTCTACAATGAACATCAATTGTTTGTGTAATTAAAAAAAAACAAGTGAAAAAAATAAACAGGTAAGAGACAGTTATCTCTTGTGGGGATGCTGGTTGAACTGGAACAAGTGAATACTGGCCAGCAATCATTGATGATGACGATGATGAACCTATGAACGTTAACTTACAAGGACAAAGGGTCTTYGCAGATGTGATTAAGAAAGGATGTTGAGACGAGGAAATTATTCTGGATTATCCATGTGGGYCCTAAATCCAATCACAAGTGTTCTCATAAGAATTCAGTAGAGGGACTTCCCTGGCGGTCCAGTGGTTAAGACTTCGCCTTCCARTGCAGGGGGTGTGGGTTCGAYCCCTGGTCAGGGAGCTAAGACCCCACATGCCTCGTGGCCAAAAAACCAAAAACATAAAACAGAAGCAATAGTGTAACAAATTCAATAAAGACTTGAAAAAGTGGTCCACATCAAAAAAAAATCTTAAAAAAAAAAAAAGAATGAGGTAGAGAGAGATTTGATACCTACAAAAGAGGAGGGGGCAATGTGACCACAGAGGCAGAGATCGGAGTGACGTGGCCGCCAAGTGAGGGAATGCCGGCAGGCACAGGAAGCTGGAAGAGGCACAAAATGGATTCTCCCCTGGAGCATCTGAGGGGAGCACAGCCCATGCTGACACCTTGATTTCTGCCCTCGTATGTCAAACTTCTGGCTGTGAGAGAATAAAGTGTTATTGTTTTAAACAACCAAGGTTGTGGCAATTTGTTACTGCAGCCACAGGAAACTAACATACTTCTCTCCGCATAAGTCAAACCATCAAACAACTCTTTGTTTCTACTCCAATTTGCTTATGCTGAAATGGCATTCTGAAATAGGTTTCTGAATACCCCCTCGGGTTTGTTTTTTTTTTAACTGAGGTTACTCTTCCTATGGAGTTCTGCTTTGTTGGCATGACACTTTGTACCTGTCTGGCTCAAAAGTTATTTCCAGGATAGGAGGCAGAATACATACCATGACGAATAATCAGCACAGCAACATAGTAAACTGCAGACGTCTGCTCTCAGCTTCAACTTTAACCCTTTTTCACTCACGTCATTTCCAAATTCAGTCTCACTTTTATTTCATTTTAAAATTTATTGGCCGTGCCACGCGGCATTTGGGATCCTAGTTCCCCAACCAGGGATCGAACCCGCGCCCCCTGCAGTGGAAGCACAGAGTCTCAACTACTGGACCGCCAGGGAAGTCCCCAGTCTCATTTTTAGTTCTACTACCTACCTTAATTCTCAGCTTCACTCTCACACTGAAATCCTTCTGATATCACTTACTTTTAGAAAGATAAAAAGGACCGTCATTTACTGGACATATGCATTTGGGCACAAGGGA